CGTGAGGCATCAGAAGAGGTTGGCAGATGCATATTATCAGATTTTGTGTTAGCAAAAATGTTTGTATGTGGGAAATTTGAGGAGATGGATGGATGGATTTGGATGCTTATTTCGCTTTCTTTGAGCGTTTTGTTTTTTCAAAATCTTGAACCCTTTGTGGGGTAGGCACCAGAAGAAATGGTGCGATCTTTACCATCTTTATAACAGATCTTGTGTTGATGGAAATATTGAGATGTATTAAGTCTGAATGGAATTGTAAGTTATTTTCGCGTTTTATGAGTTTCATGGATAATCAAAATATTGCCCCTTTGTGGGGGAGGTACCAGAAGGAGTGGACCGATATATCCCATTTTCACAGCAGACTTTGGGTTAATAAAAATATTGTGATGTGTTTAACTTGAAGAGAGCTGGATGCTTATATCGGATCGTTTATGATCGTTTGGTTATTCAAAACTTTAACCCCTTGTGGGGGAGGTACCAGAAGGAATGGCCCGATCTCTACCGTATTTATAACAGATCTTGTGTTGATGGAAATATTGAGCTTTATGAACATTCAAAAGTTTGACCCTCTGTGGGGGAGGTGCCAGAAGGAGTGGATCGATATATTCCATCTTCACAAAAGATCTCGGATTAAAAAAATATTATGATTTGTGTAATTTGAAGACAATCGGAAGCTTACATGACATTTTGTAAATGTTATAATTATTCTAAATGTTGACCCTTTTGTGGGGGAGGTACTTGATGGAGTGGACCGATTTATAATCCATTATCACACCTGACCTAGCACTGATGCAAATATTAGGATATGCAAAGTTGGAGCAAAATCGGATTATGCTTTCTCTTTCTGGGCAGTAAATTATTTTCTTTGAAAATTTTAACATTTTGTGTGGGAGGTACCAGAAGGGGTGGACCGATGTTACCCTTCTCCGAATTCGATCTAAGTTTGACAATAATATTACGATGTACCGAGTTTGGATTAAATCGGATACTCCCTTCGAGAGTTATCGTGCGCACCAGCCAAACAGGCGGACGGGCGGACGGGCGGACGGACACCCCTAGATCGACTCCAAATCTCCTGAAAAGGATTTGGTCCAAAGAGACCTAGGGTCTAAAACCGTTATTTCTATGAGGCACGTTTTGGTCGTTTCAAATGATATATACGTTCTGTAACCATATGACTGAGGGTATAAAAATATTTGCTTAAATTAATTGAAAATATATGTAAATATGCAAAAAAAAAAAAATTAAAATTGTTCAGCTTCAAAAATTTGTTCTCTTGCGGTGAGAAACGTCGAAAGCGTACGTCTAGTATTAGGTAGGAGTGTTTCGCAAACGAAGAATAGCATTTTACTTACAGAAAATCGTCGCAATAGAAAAAATTCCATAGGAATAGATGCAATGGCTCCTTGGTGATTTGTTTCCTATGTGGGAAGCCACGTGTGTGTGGAAAATTGCCTATAACACATGATTATTTAAACAGATATAAAACATATACTGTTCCATAATTAACAAAAGTATAATAATTTAAACACATATAATTAATACAAGCTATATGGCAAACTTTATTACAGATGCATCGCATGCAGCAAATACAAAATTTGCAATACAAACGCCTGCAGCAAGCCCTAAGTTCTGTTGCAGAACTTAATGTCCAAATTGTTGAATTGAAAAAGCGCCTAGAAGACGTAGATGCAAAAAATCGCGAAATTTCAGCAAATATAAGGCACATCAATGGTGGTGCCTCGCCAGAAACTGCCAAAACCACACCGCCATTGTGCACTGATGCTGCCGTCACTATTGGTCCTACTACAGATGAAACCGCAACAGCTTCTAACCCCCCATTGTCAACGGAAATTGCAACTCCCTCGGCCACAAGTGCTCAAACACAATCTAACGAAGAAATTGAAAATAAAGCAATGAAAAGGCGATGTAATAGTGATGGTGTCGATATTGGGGTTACTGGTACATCATCACTGGAAGAATTCGCAGAAGACAATGTAGCAGACGATCGACAATGCAGTGTATCATGTATTTCCGTTAAGAAGGTCAAGTTGGAGCAATAATTTTTTTTGCAAAGTACAGACCGACATATTTACATTTACATGTACGATTAAGCCTAGATCTATTATTAAACAAACAAAAACATATTTCTAAATCTTTCAATGGTATTATGTGCAGTATATATGGTGTTAAATATATACTGGTATGTACATATTTTATTAAAATACCTTTTCTAAATTTAATTTTGATCTTGTTTGTAAATCAAGGAAAATTTGATCTATTGGAAATGCTCAGAACTTCATTTCAAGAAGCAACAATAATAGCAAAAAAAATTATGAAACGAATAAAAAATGTGTTTTTTAACATTTGAGATAAGCTTAATGATTGCGAATTTGCTGGAGAATAGGAAGATTATTTGTGCGGTTGAAAGGACATTCAAGATGTAAGTAAATTTAATTTTAGGAGAAAACTTCCATGTAATTTAATTGATAGATTAGATAAAGTTTGAAAAATGCATTAAAAAATTTAAAAAAAAAGTATAATTGAACCGAATCGAGTTAGACAGGCGAAATATTGCTAAATCTTACAGATTGACCCTCATTTACTCAAGGAGTGACACATCTCAGAAAATTATGGTTTTGAGTTAGCAGTTTCAATTTTTCGACGGGTTCTTTGTGTTTCTGTTTTTATTTTCATATTGATAACTCTAGAAATCATGGAGTTCGGCGTAAATCAACAAAAAAAAGGTTTGAAACTATTAGTGTTCTTGCACAGAAACTTAGCACTGATATGTATAAAACAGCAGTGAAATAGCTGACTGACCGAGAATCAACGATCAATCGAAACGGCTGAGGCTAGAATCTTGAAATGTTGCACGAGTAGCAGTTTTGGTGCGTAGGCGTTTTTTTTTAGGAAATTTCTATTAAAAGCGTACGAAATTGAATATTTCGTATTGAACTAATGGAATAAGGTAGAACTTTGAAATGTGGAATGAATCACTGATTCAGGATAGATGTACCAAAAGGTTTTTAGAAATTCAAAGTTTGAGGTTACGAAAACTTCAAAAATGGTACCATTTGGTATTATGTTAACGGAAAGAGCTAAAAACTGAAATTTATTATGATAATCAAGGTTGGAAAGCAAATTTGATATAAGAAGTTAGTTTTGGAAATGTATACCGCGACTGTACTAAATAGTACTAAAATTGGAACAGTTTGTGATAAAGAGATGATTTTGGAAATGAGTACTACAAGTGCACGAAAAGTACTAAATTGTACTAAATTTTGTACAATTGAGTGGTGGGTGAACAAATATGGCATGAAATCTGAAATTTGGTGTAAGGGTCGCTGTTCATGTGTAGCTTGGACATGTGGTGGTGGTTTCGGAAATGTGTGCTACAATTGCACGATAAGTACTGAATCGTACTATATTATTGGCTGAAGGAATAGAGATAAAACTTTGAAATTTGATATTTATATAATTGTTGGTATCTGAGATTGAGATATGGAGGTGGTTTTGAAAATATGCAAAAGGCGCTATATACAGGGTGAGATAAAAAAAACTGTAACAATATCTAACGCCATAATTTTAATGAAAGCAAAAAATGTCGGAAATAGCAACAAATTTTAGAATAAGTTAAGATTTGTCCGAATTGGTCACCTTTGGCACGAATTATGGCCTTCAAACGACCAATGAAACTGTCACACGCTGTTGCCCTGCGGTATTTTAGCCCATTCCCGGCGAAGCGTTTGCTCGAGGTGATCAACTTGCTTTCCAAAATACTCCAGACACAATGGTCCAACGGATTGGTATCCGGAGATTTTGGTAGCCATTGTGCGTTGGTAATGAAGCGAGGAACCTCATTTTGTAACCATTCTTTGGTGGCGCGTGCTGAGTGCGATGGTGCTGAGTCCTGTTGTCCAAGGTCTGCGGCCAAAATGTTTGCGTGTCCAATTCTTTAGTACACCCTCCAGAATATTTTCGCGATAATATTCTGCATTTATTCGGCTGCGTTTGAGTTCTGGTTGCCAACCGAAGGTGCACATTTTCGGCTGACGTCTTTGGCAAGTAAACACGATTATTTTGTTTGTTTATAAACTGCTGGACAGCGAATGTTTATTCATCGGAGAAAACCAAATGCGGCAGTTCACCACTTTCGGCCAAGCGAAGCAACTCTTTTGAGTCTATTTTCTTTCCGTTGCGGTGTAAGTTCTTGCACTTTTTGGAATTTCAATGGCTTTACTCCGAGCTAATTTTTCAATATTTTCCGAATGAGATATTGCGATATGTTCAGCTCACGAGCCATTTTTCGGCCACTGCGACGCGGGTTTCGATCAAGTCGCTTCTTTATTTTTCGAACCATTTCTGCTGATGTTGCTGTTTTCAGTATCACGGTAACGAGCGATGGTACGAGACACAAAAGATTTATTCACATTTAAATGCTGGAGTGCTCTAACGATATCCACTTGTGGTTTTGCAGCCAAATATAAAGAAATCACACTATCACGCTTGATTTCCTTGACGAATAACTTTTTTTCTGGGAAAATTCTCACCAAAATGCTTTTGTACGCTTGTAAACAATATGAGCTGTCACTGTAATAATTTTAACAGCTGTCGGACGAGTGGCTTAGAAATGTCAGCAGCCTGAAGTTGGTTGCAGTTTCTTCATCTCAGCCTGTACATAAAACTGAGGGCTCTTGTACTCACTCATTCCGGATGTGAAACACACGATTTAATTACATTTAGGCATATTCGAATAGAACAAAAATGTTGTCCCATGTTCAGAGGAGGCAAGAGCTTAATCTTGTAGCATTCTCTTCATCCTAATACTAGGGCGATTGTTTGTTGTCGTCTTTATCTCCGTAGAGTTTGCAGTGACCTGCAATGATGCTCACGTTGAGTTTTTTTCGCTTGACCCAAAGTTTGCGCGATCGCCTCCGTTATCCAATATCATCAAATCCACATTTGCACAACATGATCAGTGACTTGAAATTACATGTAGGGATATATCGTCTTTAGAGAAGGGTAGATATATTGCCTTCGAGACCCTTCAAGCAGTCTTGAAATAGTTCACGTGTGGATTCACTGAGTATTCGACATTTATAATATTTGGATGGTTTTCGTGTCTTCTCAGTTCAATCGATGCTTTGACTTCATTGTAGTTATATGATCTAGAGCACAACTTTATGCCATTCCTATGGCCATCGATTTGAGGGCTTTTGGTCAGTCAGAGGATCTTTAGACCAGAATAAGCTATAATTATTATCAAGCAAGAACCAGGCTATAGTAAAAACAACTACCATCCTAAGTAAATGTAGAAATGGTAATGAATTTTCTCCTCTAATACATTTCTTTTCAAGCCATAGCGACAGTTAATATTGAGAACAGAAGGTAGTTAAGGGTAAATTCATGCCCCAATTTTTAAATCTGGTCAAAAATTTTTAAAAATATCCAAATCCGAAATGTTTTATCCCAAACATCCACATAAACAACTCGTGTTATTTTATTTTCTTTTTTGATTTTTATTGTTGCACTTTTGTTAATATCTACAAATCTATAATAATACATCAATATTTATAGATATAAAAACACAAGGAAAACATAAATGGAAGAAAAAAATAAACAACCTAACACATTTATAATTAAGTATAGAAATAAAGTAGCTTGGAAAACACAAAACGATTTTCATTCAAAATAAAATAATTCATTTCAACAAAATTGGAGTAAACTGCATAACAGTTACGAAATTCAGGCCGATATAATGTTTAAAAGAAAAATTCTTCCACAATACAGATAAATACTTTTTTGTTGTGATTGGTAGGAATGAAATTTTAGAATTTAGAGGAACGACAGGAAAAATAAAAAACTTGTTTATGTTTACATATTTGTAGGGGTAAATACAAATCTGTAGTTTTTTTCTGTATCATCTAACAAATCAATATAGTTGATTATAATGTTATTTTCTTTTTTTTTTTTTTTTTTTTTGTTTTGTTGTTTTGTATTCTTTGTCTTAGTACAATGCAAATTTTATTAAACATTGAATATAGAAATTTACTTTTTCTTTAACGCTGTATTATTGTTATGTTTAAAAAAGAAGCTTAACTACGTTACTATAATAGTATTTCATTTTTTATACTTTCATCTGAAAATAAATGTTTAATTTTTAGCGAGAATAACTTAAATAAATTTATGTATCATGGTATAAAAAGAAAAGAAAAAAATGTAAGAAACTAAAATGCCTACGTTAATTTTTTATTACACTCACTTTCATTAATATTACTTTGTATGCAATTATTGCATTCGCAATGTTATTCGCTTAACATTACGAATTTTTAAGTATAAATATATGCATTTCTTTGTTGATGTTTTTTTTTGTATGCGAATTGTATATATGTATGTATTCAATTGTGTCCTTAGAAATACATAGAGATTTTTTTATTTATATACAAGATTAGTAAGTATGTCTGTGTCTGTGTGAGTGTATTTAGTGTACTTATGTACATATTATACGGAAATTGGTTGGCTTTTATGCAAATTAACTTTCAATTTTCAAGTTAAAAAGACATAAATGCTGATAATTTGTAACATAACCTATTTATACGATTTTCTCATTTTATTGGAGAATTGCTGCTTGTTACAAGACTATTTTTGCTTTTTCCCAATTGCACGCTTCTGTTGTATTCGTTCTTTAAGATTTTTGATAAGAGCCTCAATATCATCAATGTTGTAGGCGTAAATAAGTTTGCATTGTTTAGCTTGTATGTTGCCATTATTGAGATTTTTAAGTGCATGTTGCAGACAGTAAATATTGCCGTCATCAGTTCGAATCATTGAAATATAGAGATTTGCCCGGCAAAAATCACATTCACTTTCAATGGACTTGAAGGGGGGTTGCTGCTGTTTTTTACCTTTGCCACTTTTTTCGTTGGTGACCTTTTCAGTTGAAGTTACACCGGTCGCCTTAAAATAAAAGAATAGAATAAATATTATTAATATTAATTTTTTGATAAACATATCCAGTTATGACATCATTTACAAAAACTAGTGACAATACTGTCTCTAGTTGTTAGATCCCATAAGCTTATTTTCATATTTCTTATTGCATTTGGACAGAATACGGTTTCTGAGTCATTTTTATGCATTATTCATCAAAATACAAAAATTATGACGAGAGACAAACACTATTCCACAATCTTGAAATTTTTCACGAGGGTTAGTCTTGGTGCGTAGAAGTGTGATAAGGATGGGAGTTTGGAAATTCGTACTAAACGGGTATGGAAAATACTAAAATGTACTAAAAATTGAATAATACACAAAACGAGAAATTAGGAATGAAAGTCAATGAAGGAGTGCAGAATAGATGTACCAAAGGGTTTTTGGAGATTCAACCTTCATGGTTACGAAAAATTCTAAATTCCTAAACTTCCTAAATGGTACCATTTGGTATTATGTGAAAGGATAGAGCTAAAAACTAAATTTGATACCGAGATCACTGTGGTTTGCAATGCATACTGTAAATATTTGAAAAATACAAAATAGCACTAATTTTGGATCACTGTTGGTGTCTAGGATGGATAGATGTAGATTGTTTTGGAAATTTACTAAATTTGGTATTGGGTGAAGGGATAAAGCTGATACTGATGTCACTGTTGGTTTCTAGGGTTAACATAGGGTTGTGGGGGCGGTACCACAAGAAGTAGACCGATATATTCCATCTTCACACAAGACCTCGGTTTAATAAAAATATTGTGATATTGTCCATTTTCGCACTTGACCTTTTTCGCACTGATATAAATATTAGGATTTGCAAGTTGGAGCAAAATCGGATCATCATTTCTCTTTCTGTGCAGCAAATTATTTTATTTGAAAATGTTGACATTTTGTGGGGGAGGTGCCGATATTGCCCATCTTCGAATTCGATTTAAGTTTGACAATAATATTACGATACACCAAGTTTGGATCAAATCGGATACTCCTTTCGAGAGTTATCGTGTGCACCAGTTAGACAGGTGGGCGGAAATGACTAGATCGACTCCAAATATCCTGAAACGGATTTGGTCCAAGGAGACCCAAGGTTCGATGAGGCACATAAAAAATAAAAATATTGCTGTCAATACTGCTAATCAAAGATAATCTTCGATTAACTAAGGAGCTCGAATAAATACGTACATGTTTTATTAATTTGTACGCTGATAACACCTAAAACCATAAAAATATTTTTTCGGTTTCTCCGATATTAGCAGCAGCTTAAATCTGAGCTACTGCTTTTTTGTGAGCTGAACTTGTTGCTTCATTGCCAATTAGGCCCAAACTAGCTAGTATATCAACAACAAGTAAAATGGCCTGATCATGTGCTACTTTAGCCCTTACTGCCAATATTTAATAGTAGTTGCACTGCAAGGCTAATTTCAATAGGTTCCGGATTTAAAACCCTGTTATTTTATGCTTCCAATATAAATTTCCTAGTCGTAGACTTCAACTCCACACAACCTATTCAGTCAATATGGTCGTTAACAAGTTCATGAATTATAAGTTTCATGTCAGTATCCTACCTTGAGTTGTTCTCGAGCGGCAGCTTCTTTTTCATACACTTCTTGCAACATAGGTAACATTTGCTGCATCGTATCGGATGAGACACGCTGATCATAGCCCAACGCAAAAAGTAATTGCTCCAATGAAAACATTGCGGGTTCGCAACTGTCATGAATATCCTGTTCGAAACAAAAAAAAAAAAAAAAAAATAATAATAATTATGAAAAGTTTCTCAACAGCATTTCGTTTTTGACATACCCTGAAATCATCTTTCGCCAAATCCAACCAAGATGTTGTTGCAAAGTATACACTTTCTGAGACCACATAACCTGTAGCTAAACTTGAGGTGTAAGCACGAGGGAAAACGACTATAAATTCGCCAGGTTTTTGTTCGATACGACACAGTGATACTCCGCGGTCGGTGAGCATATGTGGAGGTACCATAACAGTATCACAGGGTAGCCATATTGTTTTATTTTGACAATGTGTGGGTATGAGCGATGTAAGAGCTGCTCTAAAATTGGCACTTTGGTCGTCCGGTATACCGTACCACAGTTTTGATGCGCCGGTATGAAGGTATTCGATCCACGACAAACCGTGTGGGTCACGATACCAACAGCAGGCCGAAAACAGCATACCAACATGCAATGTGGGCACAGTTACACCCATAACAGGGCCCAATGATCGTAACACAGAACCAGGATTATTGGTCAGTACTTTAAGATTCCATGGATGGCGCGCATAATTGGAACCCTTACCCTTGGGCCCAGGACTGGGGAAACCAAAGCCCCAGCCGGAGGAATCAATTGAGCCGGAATGTACACACACATGACTGTCCCTGACGGCTACGTGTCGCCAAAACTCTGCCTCTACCTCGTTCACAGTGGGTTCGGTGTTCTTAAACCACAAAGCCATTGTATTGCGGGCGATACGGTAGAATTGACTCAAAGGCATACTTCGTCCTTTCACTATACACTCCATCGACACACCATCTACTTCCTCTTCGGATTCTTCTTCGTCGTTCTCCGAGGATACATCATCGTCTTCATTAGAAACGCTTTCTGTGTTGACAAAACGATCTGCGTTTCGACGGGCGCGAGCTTCCCGTTTTGCCCAATCAGCTTCCACTTCATCGAAGAGTTTCTGACGTTCGGCCGGCGACAGAGTGTCATAGGGCAATAAATATTTACAATATATATCATCCAATTTGGTTACCCGATCTTGAGCTAGTTTCGGTATACACATTTCTTCAGCAACACGAGCCCATTTTTTCTTTTCGATGACTTCTTTCAGACCACCCAATTCTTGTACGGTGTGATAAAGGCGCGGCAAATCCACTTCCATTCCACCTATCCATGGTGGGTGATTCATGACAATGCTCTGGGTTGCCAAGTACTTTTTGATGGCACTTAATTCCTTGGCACTTGGACCCCAACGATGCAACAACTTGTGTACATATTGATTGTAGGCGGTGAAGCGCATTTCATCGGCGATACGACACTCGGGCTTAAATGATGGCGGAGGTATGATTTTACAAATGCCAAATCGGGCCGCTATAGGTGTGATGCGTTCAATGAATTCGATGGGGTCGGCAAATTCTTTTTCCGTTGGCCGGAAGATAGGAGCTTCTACCATTTGTGTGGGGTCATCGTGACGTGGGAATGCTGTATTGTTGGACATTTTAATGGGAGCATCGTCCTTGAACTTTTTACTTGTTGTGTGGCCTGCACCCGTCCCAACAGCTGCATTGGAGGCCGCGGCATTTCGGGATTTAACGGATCCAGAAAATAATGAGGAATTTGAATTGACACGTTGCAAGCTACCACCTGTGACACCGCCTGCGGTAGAAGTTGATGGTCCTGCTTGTACAGTCGATGCGAGCGAATCTCCTTTGAAGCGGGGCTGTACAGTTCCAATAGGTACACTTTTCATGCTGTTTGGGGCGGAAGTGGTCGCTGTCGCTGCAGCTGCTGCCGACGTCGACGCACCACTAGTTGAAGTGACCTTTTTATCGCCCGACATTAAATTTTTAACTATATCCGATACATTCATTGTTTCAGGTATTGGTTTTGTATTCGATCTCATTTGGGCTTTGGTGACTAAGGTAGCGTGCATTATTACCTTCTGATTGGGACCGTCTGGCCCTTCGCGGCCCAGTTTAACAGCCACACCCTGAATACCACCCTCACCATCACCCCCACTTGCTAAACCTTGTAAAGGAATATAGAAGGTATGTCCGTCACCAGATTCAGAGTCGTTGTCATTCAAATTTTTTTTCGCAGCTTCACCTACCGCCTTTTTGCCACCTTTGCCTGCTTTGTTGCCGGCTGATTTTCCAGTCTTGCTATCCGCATCCAGACTGACTTTAACAAGCTTGTTTTTCTCCGATGGACTTAATGTTAATGAGACTGAACTGGTCTGAGAATTTCCACCCGCTAATTCTTTATTTGCAATCTCCGCAACAGCTGCTGCATTTCGTTTCGGTTTTGTGGAAAGACTGCGCTGGGCTATTGCGGATGTGTTGTCAATATTTGAGTCACGGCGGTTCTGACGCCTATATGATGAGGCTTTTTCGGTTTTCACAGGCACTGGAGCTGTTGCTTCATCGTCATCCTTGTCAAAGGAGTATATGGACTTTTCATTCTCCGCAGAGAATGCTTCATTAAGGGTTCCAAAACGTTTATGACTGGATGTCGTAGGTGTTTTTGGATCTTTACTGTTGGAGTTGAGTTGTTTTGGAGTCAGTTTTTGCTGATATACTGGAGTCCGCTTTGGAGTGCGGCTAGCGGAAGCATTGGCCGATGGTGTTTTCGTCGCATCCTGTGTACACCCAACATCATCGTTTGTGTTGACAATACTATCTTTAGGCTTAGGGCACAGTGGTTTATCGTCCGAGTCCTCCGATACGTGTTTTCGACGACCCGGCTTTGTGGATGTCGATGCAGCCTGTATGGATGGTGAAGTTACTCTCTTTTGGTTAGCTGCTTTTTGATTGTTCTGGTGTTTTTGGGTGGGTGACGTTCCTTTTGCAACGTCGTCATTCTCCCAGGTTGTGGGCGCGGCTTCCTTTTCGTTCGATTTATTTTGTTTAGCTTCATTCGCCAAGGACTTTACTGCTGCTGTTTGCTTTTCTTCTTTATTTGTAGATTTTTTGTTTTCGATCTTTTTATCCGACTTATCGGATTGTGTATTTTTTTCATCGATACTACCCGGCGCAGGTGATGATTTATTTAGAGGATTTTTATCACATTGCTGGTTAAGTGGCAGCGAGTTTTTGTCAAATTCATCTTCTTGAAGAGGACTGGTTGGCTCTGTAAGTTTAAGATCTTCTTTACGGTTATTGGCAGCATTGGCGGCTGAAGCAACAACAGGCGTAGCTTTCAGTGATGGGCCTTTAGCTGACCAGGCGCTTTCGCTTTTACCCAAATCCCTTGTGGCTTTCGATGAAGAGCTAAATGACGTGCTTTCTTTATCATCGCGGGTTGGGGGTGGTGTAGTATTGAAATTATTTGGTCTTAAATCAGAATCGAAGTCGTCATCAAGATCGTCTTGAATTTCATCGGGATTGGAAGAACATTCGATAAGCCATTTGTGTATCTGTTCATGGGTCATATTCACTTTAGCCTTCCTTCTTTCTTTGCCTGAGAGTTGATCTCCGATATAGCTTTCAGTAGGTACGACTGGTCCCAATACTGGCTTATGAATGGAGCCACATTTTCCCAGTGTACATTTTGTATTGTCGGGACCAGAACTTTGAGCCAAACTCACACTGGCAATACCAAAAATTTTACCTGATTCTTCTTTGCTAGGCATTAAATTAGCTGCTAGTATACTGCTGATTTCATCTTTCATCGGATCATTGCTCGTCCCACCGGGTGCTGCTAACACCGCCGATGAAGTAGTTGCACCAATATTATTACTTAAATAGTTTGAATTGCCTGAGAGCAAGGTTTTAGGACTCATTGACATGTTTGGAGCTGAAAATGAGGAATTCTTAAGCAGACCACTACTTGATGCTGATATATCGTATTTCACTGGAGAAGGCGAAGGAAAACTGTTATTTCCTGTTGGTGGATGATTGCCAGGCCTTGAAAGGGTATTGCGGTCAAATTTCGGCGTTAAAAAATTAGGATTGATTTTTGGTGAAGGGTATGCCTCTATTGGAGGTGGATATGTTGTTGGTGGGGTCTGATATTTCATGGGTGATTGTGGAGGCATTTGCATCGAAGATGTGTTCATGTGGGGTCCCACCGAAGTTGAGCTATTAATGCTAGGTCCCATTAAGGGTGATGTTTTCACTGGAGACTGTATGGGAAATTGTGGCCGAACATGTTGTTGCGGTGGTGGAGGCTGTTGTTGTTGCTGTGCCTGTTGTTGTGATGCATGGGCCGTGGAATGATAATGAGCGGGCGATTGTGGTACATACATTGGAGATTTTCCGAAGTTTGAATTTAAACCACAATTAATACCACTATTTGTAGAAGGGGTGGCCGAGGGGACACCGTAGGTTGCCGGCACATTTAAAATTTTTGATGTGGGTACTGGGGATTTCTTTTCAACGGCTTTAAAAGGTGACTGTGATGTACTGGTAGGAGTAATCGGGGCTGCTGCCTGAATGGCAAATGTAGTGCTGGAATTTGGTCCAGGTGGGGGTGATGATGGTATCGTACCTGCGCTTATTGTTGTTGTTGTTGCACCAAATGACACCGGTATATTTGATGTGCTTGAAACAATCGGCACGGTTCCCACCACATTGCTGTCTGGTGGTGACGTTGAAGACATAACAATGTTGCTGGATGTTGTTGTAATCGGTTTTGTAGTAGTCAACGACAGAACTGTCAGAGTGGTAAGTGCAGTATTAGCGCTGCACACGGGAATAACATTTGGTAATGTTGATGCTACGATATTAGACGGCATCGCCAATGATTCCATAGTATGGCTAGCAGATTTGTGAGAATTATCCACATCTTTTTCATTCGGCTTTACATGAGCTTTAATCGCTAAAGGTTCGTCGTCAGAGTCACTGAAACTTTTTTCCAATTTCCGCTTGGTTTCATTAAGCTCTTCATTTAACAGAAAGTCTTCGTCGTCTTCGGTGCCTTCCTTTGAGTTCTGCTCGGTTTTATTGTCCTTGACAAGATCGCTCAGATTTTCCGTTGACTGAGTCATTTTGGCAATAACGCCTTTCTTTACTAGCATGCCTTCAATTTCCCGCTTGGCTGTAGGTTGGGTCGATGCTTTCGAATTTTTCGGGGGCCGACCTCTACGTCCTGTTGCTAAAGGCTTTTCTGTCGATCCTACCGAGGCGGGAATTTGAGGGGGCGATCCCTCTGAATTTTTCACTTCTTTAGGTGTGGGTGATGTGTGCGCTTTATCCATAGTGCTGCGCTTCAATTCATTTTCTATTTTTTCCATTTCACGTACATTTGGGCGATCAAAGCTACTTAACGAAACATCGTCCTCCTCATCTTCAGCCAGTTGCAAACGATGTCCTATTATACCCATATAAATAGTAGCTGCTTCTTTTGTCTTACGCGATGGTCTTTGATTTCGAGTTGGGCTTTCGTTCGCAGAGTTGTCTTCCGTTGAAACAGCTTCCGACACTGTATTTTTGTCTGAGTTATCGACTTTTGTCTTCTTTCGACCAACACGAGTATTTGGTGCTTTCTTTGGGGAAGGTGGTGCTAAGTCCGTGCGATTTGCCGTTTTTTCTACTTTTTCGTCGTCTTTAACCTCGACATCCTTTGCTGGTTTATTGTTGGAGATCGAGGCGTGGTTCGAATTCGAACGTTTTCCTTTAATTTTTCCAGTTTGCTTCTCCGCTGTTGTTTTGTCGCTTGCAGTGGTTTCTTTCGTAGTGTCACTGTCTTTTTTCGCCTCTACGGACACGTTCGCAGCTTCTTCCATGCTAGTATTGTCGACAGCTTCTGATGTTTGATTTTTGAGGGAAGTATTTTTTCCTGTACGTTGGTTTGTTTTCTTCGGACTAGCCTTTGACGTCGCTGCTTTTTTAAGCTTAATTGTTTTAGCTAAGGGTTGTTCATCATCGGATGAGAAGTCAAATACATTAAGTTGAGGTTTATTCTTTTCCAGTTCTGTTGATTGTGATGGATCAGCACTACTGGGGGTTTCCTCGGTGGATGTGTTTGCAATGGCTTTCGTGGGTTTTAAAGGTTCTTTGCATGTCACTGAGTCCTTTGTTTCCTGATCATTACTTTCATCAACTGCATTGTCTTCATCTCGCTGTGGTACTTTAACAGGTTCAAAGAAGGCTCTTTGTCTAGTCATGCGGCCAGAAGGTTCGGGTGATGGTATAAAGATTGGCGATTCCTTTTGTCTAGGTCGTTTAACTGGAACTTTTTCTTTGGTTTCGGGTTTTACCGCTTCTTTGTCATCGTTGTCCTTTTTCTTTAGGGATGCCGAAGAACGACCCTTGCGTGATTTAGAAGTTGTTTCACTTTCTTTTGAAGGAGACTCTGACTTTCTCTCCATTTGTGAAGGAGTTTTAAGACTCTTTCTGTCCTTCCCATCAGCATCCGAATGTAAGGTTTTGCTATTATCGTCCATATTCGACATGTATTCTTCATCCTCATCTTCCGACAGATGATCGATCATTAATTTGGAACCTTTTGTTGTCCTATTTGATCTACGTTTGCCCGTTTCCGCGATATTACTGGACTTGTCGTCAATGTTACGATTGCTACGGCGATTTCCATCTGCTATAACTTCGGCTCGCTTTCGAACTGGAAATGAGGGAAGCTCTTCGTCTTCCTCCTCATCTCCTTGGGCCAACTCTGTTTTACTTTTATCGTGTAATTTGGAATTTTCAACATTTTCTACTATCGTAGTAGAATCATTGTTACTATTCGGTTTATTTGGACTTGCAGAAGGGCCTTCTTCACATTCCTTCTTATCGTTTATTTCGTCCTTTGGTTTGGTATTTTTTGAGGGTCTGCCCTTTTTACCTTTCTTTTTCGTGATAGTTTTTATCGGTTTTTTGACAGGTCGTTCTGGTTCCTTTGACTTTCCTTGGTTTAAAAAATCCAAATGTGGCGGCAATGCTGATGATCCTCGAAAACAAAGAAATGTTAGGAAATCTTCAGTCTTTGGTCGCTTATTTGGCAATATCTCTGTTGGCGGTTCACGACTCTCTGACGATGTACTTGGTCCAGTATTTGAGGATGAGGATGCAGCATTAATCGCACTGTACGATGACTGTGGAGCACTCTGACCTTGGGCAAATTTTCGCTGTGCTTGAACTTTTGTCCTGTTTAAGTAAAAATAAGAAACACAAAAATGGATTATTAATACTGCGAAATTAGCGGGATTAAATTCTATAAGTTATTATAACGCATGAATTTCATCTGATTCAAAACTATTGCTCTTTTTAACTCTTTGTAAAATAATTTTTAATGAGAAACCTATGAGAAGGGTCAAATTTTAAAAATGTATAGCCAGTGGGAAAAAAACATAAACTAAATTACGTTAACTTTGGTCTACAATGTGCAAAGAATAACACTTTTACCGGTATTGCATTTATTATTCAACTTCAAATTTTTAGGCGCAAAGTATCCAAATATGTTTCGATCGAAATGTATTTTTGTATTCGCATTATAAATTTATACCGACGGATATTTTTATAGGAAGAACTGTGAACTATCTCTCAAAATTGATATATATTCAAGCTGAAATTCTCACAATAACATTACTTTCGATCCAAATTTCTTCGATATCGAATTCGAGATATCTGCAGATTGCCAAAATGCAGTATACCTTCCCTCTGATATAAAGTCTATAGGCTTTCAAAAAATTTCAAAATGTGATAGATCTATTTTAAGGAAATATTTTAATTTGTTTATAATTCATTGATATCTAGTCCCGATTCGGTCCAATACTATGAACTATGAGCCATCCGACGAAATGTCGAAAATAATTCCCTTATGTATTAAGGTCTTAGGGGCTTCTTGTTATTTGTTAAGTCCAATTTGAAACACAACAAAATCAATTTTGCAATAAAATATTGATGTTTCCGTATTAAAGATACGTTTATATTTTATGGCGAATCAAGCTCCCAAGTCCTTTAAATAATATTATTTTTTTAAAGATTTCTTTGTACGATGTACAGTTTAAAATTTGCTTGTAATCACTTTTTGCTCATTTTGTAAACACATTTTACATGATCCTATTAGGATTCACAAGACATATATGAGTGGTTTAGCACGCCACCCTCGTTAATTTTTTGCTTTAGTGCATGGCACAATCACCTCTTCTCAAACAATTAAAATATACACACAACATTTAATGAGAAAAAGAGCAAAAATATCGAGGAAAATAAATAGAATAAATTAAAAAAAAGAAAAACAACAAAAAAAGATAAAATAAAGCGCGAACACACATACATACTTATTCATAAGAATATATAGACAAATATTCATACCTTTTGGGCATTTCTGGCGATGACTCTACAGCAGTAGACGGTTGTTGTTGTTGTGGTGTTGGTGGCGGCGGCGGTGATGACTCCTTACGCTTACGCTTGGAGTCTTTTGAGACCACCATCTTGATGGCAAATGTGTTAAAACTTTACTATTACTATTGAAATGTTTGCTAGATACAAATCAATATACAAATGTAATGTTTATTAACCAACAGTTTTTGTTTTCCCATAAGAAAACAACAGCAAAATCAATTTGCTTTCTGTTTGTGCCGTTGGCTCTTAGAACACGTCAAAAGAAATCGAGAAGCGAGATGAAAAAACAATTACACACAAAACCACCACTTCCCAATGAAATTTTTCTTCATTCGCAAAAAAAAATTGTTTCCGAAGCAAACGTAATTTTTCTTCCTCATATTTCACAAGTTTCACGTTTATTTTAATGTAAATATTTATTGCACCCCGATTATGCACTGTTTATTTCGCCCCATTAGGCATTTTCACAGAAATTTTATTGTGTATTTCAATTGAAAATGTATGCAATTTTCGGATTTGAGAAATTTTTCTCAACACGATCAGAGAACTGAGCTGCAATGACGTTCTTAACGGCGGCAACGCTGAATAAAATACAATGGCGTCAGCGGCTTGTCGTGAAAACGGTAATATTGTACAGCAGCTTTGAATTTTAATTCTTCAGTTCACAAAGCTTTAATTTAAAAACCAAAGCATACTAACAACAACAACATGTGTTGTTGGTTTTTCCCAAAGTGTGACTTTGTAAATGTGTTTCGCACGGCCTATATAAGGTCTGCCAGGAATCGAATTGGTAAAAATACAGCTCTGTCTATTAAGTTTATCGTAATTTTTTTCTTGATTTTCTAGGCGAAAAAACTTGTTTCGCCTTGACATCTAAATTTGTTTATTGTCAAAATTGTCAACAAAGAAATACAAGTTAAAAGTATCAGAATGTTGAACTTTTGTGTGGAACGTACCAAAAGGAGCTGGCCGATAAATTCCTCATTCACATCAGAATTCAGGTTGAAAACAATTTATATTAAAACACAAATTTTGAAAAGTATCGTTGATTATTACAGCAAGTTATGCGAGATATAAGAATAGAAAAACGTGACCTTTGTGGTGGAGATACCAGAACGAGTAGGCCGAAACCTACCGACTTTAGATATTGTATTAGTAGAAATATTGGAATGTGTGAAGTTTAGAATAAATCAGATGGTTATTACGTATTTTATTATAAATATAATTATTAGCGTAAAAAATATTCAACTTCTTTACTAGGGTAAAATGTTCTATACGTACGTATTAACCATATGCTTGCACCTTGCACCAGGTTCAAATTTTTAAATCTTTCTACTAATAACGTTGTAAAAATTAATAATTTTCAAAATTCTCTCAGTTGTTAAATTTTCCAATAACAAACATTTATCATTTTTGTATTATTTGTTCTTATTTTCAACACACAAAAAATTAAGTTGAATAGATTGGATCATGTTTATGAAAGCAAATTCAGGAATATTGTTCAAATTTCCCATATTACCTTATTTTAAAAATGAGAAAAATATCAAATAAGAATAAAAACCAATAAAAAACATTTAAGGTGCAAGCATGGTACAATGAAGAGAAGGTAGGTTAACTTTGAAAAAATGCAAGTATAGAGGTCTACCTGTTTGGCTTGTCAGAATTAATATCAAAACAATCAAAAAAACCAAGTAACTTGTTGCATTGATTTTGAATAAATTATTGGAAACCGCGAAAACTGAATGAAAGGTCAACATTTCTTTTCAAAATCATGCTCTATATATGTCTAAAGGTTTATTTCGCTACAAAAACTGTAGATTTTATAGGTCCATATGTTGCAATAAGCATTTTGAAAACACCCGAATTTGAATATTTTCCAAACTATTTTTTATTATTGAAATTATTGCAAGTACATACAAATCTTAAAGTCATGGCTAGTCATATTAATTTCAAATTATAATGGAAAACGAAGGCAGGATCTTATGCCATGTTTACGTTAGAACTTTTTGTAGGGTTAACCATGGTACAATGATATCAAGGTAGGGCTATGATACCATATGATTTAATTTTTTTTTATTTTCTTGGCTTGATATGTCATCTTTATTTGTTTATGTATGTGTTTTCTTTTCAATAACAAAAAAAATTGTTTAGAAAATATTCAAATTCGGGTATTTTCAAAATGTTTATTTCAACGCATGCATCGACAAAATCTAGAGTTTTTGTAGCGAAGTAATCCTTTAGAGATATATAGTACATGATTTTGAAAAGAAGTGTTGACCTTTCATTCAGTTTTCGCGGTTTTCAATTATTTATTCAAAGTAAATGCAACAAGTTGTTTGATTTTTTATTGTTTCGATACTAATTCTGACATTACAAGCCAAACAGGTAGACCTCTATACTTTCAATTTTTTCAAAGTTGACCTACCTTATTTTCATTGTACCATGTATAGAAGTATCTTAATTCAACTCTGTTCCACTTTAATCTCAAATGCCAGTAAGGCCATGGTACAATAAGGAGGTAGAACAACTTTGTAAAACTACAGAAATGCAGCCCTGAGTTTATGCCCGCTTCCTGTCAGATTCATTCAAAATTATATACAACAAGTTTTTTTCATATTTTCCCTCATTTTTAAAATGAGTTAATAGCGCGAAAAATTAATTAAATGCCTAGATTTTCACTCAAAAATATGATCTAAACTGTTTAATCTTTCGATTTCATGCCCAAACTGGTACGTGTCTTCCAATCATTGGTTTTATATATTATATTTTGTTTTCATATTTCAAAACCACAAATACATACATAAAATTAGCAGAAGCCGGGCACACTTAGAAAAAAATTGTAATCAGCTGTTAGCTCTACCTTACCTTTTTATTGTACCATAAGTAAGACCATTTGGATAATGCAGTTAGACCTTTTTAAAAAAAAGTGAATAAGTGAGTCCGAAAACTTTATACCACAAGGATTGTTATTTATATCAAGTCTTAAATGACTAATTTGAAAAAATTTCGTGGATAAATGTGACTAGGATTATAGCAAGTCTTAAATGCCTAATTTGAAAAAATTCCGTGGATAAATGTGACTAGGATTATCACAATACCGAATATCAGTGGGTACCATTATATGCTATAGGAAAACATGGACCTAGTTATTCAATGTTCTGCCACTGAAGCAAAAACCCATTAAAAACTAAAATACCAATTTATAGACAAATCCGTGGAAAAAATAATCAAAACAGCGAATATCGGGAGGTACCGTTATATGGCGGCTATACGAAAACGTGGACCTATACATACTATGTTCGGCCGCAAGAGCTAGAACCCATTAAGCACTACAAATACCAATTTTTAGACAAATTCGTTGAAAATGTGGCAAAAGTCATCAAATAGCCGAATATCGAGGGGTACCGTTATATGACGGCTGATCATGAATATATATACTTTATGGGATTCACGACGAATATTTTTGGGGGTGATACAAACAGAATGACAAAGTTAAAATACCCTTCTTTTCAAGGTGGAGGGAATAAAAATTAAACTTGTTGCATGTAATTTTGAATATTTCCGACAGATTGTGAACACGGCCTCAGGACTGCACTCAGTTGTTTTACATAACGGTTCTACTTCCTTATAGTACAAAGCGTTTACCAATATAATACTGTTTCAATACTGTTTTCTTCTTTGGCCATCTGCCATCACCACGGTGAGAAAGACGGTAATTTCTAATGTATGATATGCTCGCAAACATGGTAGAAGAATATAGGTAGACGTATCGACACAGCTGCTGGGACTATGAACTGTCAACTCAATTTTGGAATTGAAAATGTTGAATGAAAAATTATTTAAATTTATAAAAATTGTTGAAAAACGCGAATTATAATAACCTCCGAATGATGTCGTTTAAGAAAAAAAGTTAAAATTTTACTTATATTTGAAAAAACATTTAAATTATTTTGACATATCAATGCTCCCAAGCGTTGATGCATCTACCTGTATTTTTGTGCCATGCTCGCAAAGCTGTAAATACATTTTGAAAATATTCCGTTTTTGTTTTTCAAAACAATAAATACATACTCAAAATCGGCAGAAGCCGGGCACACTTAGAAAAAAATTGTAATCAGCTGGTAGGTCTACCTTACCTTTTTATTGTACCATGATTGCCGATATATAAAGTCAAATGTGAATGCGTTTTATTTTACCGTGCCAATCTTGTGTCTAAATTGTTGTTTGGCAATACTTTCAGGGTTGCAATTATTGTATCAAATTGCGTTTGTAGGCATCTCCGAAAAGTCAATGTTTTCGAGCAATTGTGATTTTGCAAATTTAAAGAATTCGTATTGCAAATTCTAATTGCAGCTAATATCCGCTTATAACTTACAACTGTACATATATCAACAGCAATGGAAGGCGCTGGCAATTGGTGTTTAATAGAGAGTGACCCTGGTGTATTTACTGAGCTCATTAAGGAATTTGGTACTCAATAAGGAAATTTGCCGGTTTTACTGTCCTTTCATTCGTAGTTTACATTTGCTTTTCATAGGTGTTGAAGGCGCTCAAGTAGAAGAAATTTGGTCTTTAGATGCTGAGTCATTTAAGAGTTTGGAACCTATACATGGACTTATATTCCTCTTCAAATGGGTGCAAGATGATGAACCGGCAGGTAGTGTTGTTAAAGACGATCGTCTGCAGAACATTTTCTTCGCCAAACAGGTTATCAATAATGCTTGTGCTACACAAGCCATTCTAAGCGTCTTACTTAACTGCAAACATGATGATATCAAGCTTGGGGACACTTTGTCCAACTTCAAAGAATTTTGTCAATTTTTCGATCCATACAACAAAGGTTTGACACTGAGCAATGCATCACAAATAAGAACGGTCCACAATAGTTTTGCACGACAGACCCTTTTCGAGTTGGACTCGAAGAATCAGAACAAAGACGAGGATGTTTATCATTTTATTGGCTACGTACCAATAGATGGACGTTTATATGAATTGGATGGATTAAAGGAGGGACCCATTGATCTGGGTGCCATAGCTGCGGGACAAAACTGGATTGATGTCGTTCGACCAATCATAGAAAAGAGAATGAATAAATATAGTGAAGGTGAAATTCACTTCAATCTGATGGCTATAGTTTCGGATCGTCAAAAAATCTACCAACAGCAAATTGATAAACTTTTGAGTGGTGGCAGTGACGAAGCCATGGAGACCGACGACCGTGAGACTGAAGTTGCTAAACTACGCTCTTTGATTGATAATGAAGTGGAGAAACGTAAACGTTATCGCATAGAGAATATTAGACGTAAACACAATTATCTACCCTTTATAGTGGAGCTGTTAAAAATGCTGGGAGAGCGCGGTCAATTGATGCCTATTTATGAGAAGGCAAAACAAAGAGCAATGGAACGCGAAGCTGCGGCAGCCAAAACAAAATCCTAAATCTCAAAACGTCTAATATTTAAGTTCAATTCATTGCGTTTGTTTTGCATTATATAGTGCTGTCCTTGTTTAATAGGGATCGCATATTCTTATTCTGTTGTTTCTTGATGCATTTCTTTTTAATTTGGCTTGAGATACGAAAATTTGCATTTATTAGAAGCCAAAAATCCACATTTGTAAGG